GGTCGGCAGCTCTGTTACTTGTCATTCCGCCGACGCGTGGCCTAGATTCGAGGGCCCAGCTGCCCCTCTGGGGCCTGGCTCCCCGGACAGGACGGCTCGGCCCCCCACCTCGGCGTCCTCCTAAGCCCTGTGCCCACGAGCAGGGTGTCCGGAGGCGTCTAGAGTCTGTGTCCCTGGGGACCTCAGAGTGTCAGACACCTGGCCTGACCTCCAGCCCCCCAGTCCTGGCCACTGTGTCCTGTGGGGACCACCCAGTGCCGAGAGCCGACGGAGGCCCCCCAGAAGGCGGAGAACGGGCTGGGGGGGGGGCAGCCTCAGCCCCAGGCCCCAGCCAAGGGCAACAGCATTGGTTCCGCTCTGGTCTGGGCAGCGAGGCATCTGCACAAGGATTTGCTTCAACCTGGTCCAGCGGGGGCCGGAGGGACACAGCACCCCCAGGCCAGACACGCCTGGCAGCCATCTGCAGAGGTGGGGTGAGGGGCTGACCCTGACCTGCCCACCACCCTGCTCAGCTGGGTGCCTGCATAGGCCAGAGCCTCCGGGACCAGGTCAGTCCCCGCCCCTGCAGATCCAACATACCAGGCCCACTCAGAGCCTTGGGGGACCCCACGGAGAGCTACGGAGGGGCCCCACGGAGAGCCACGGGGGGCCCCATGGAGAGCCACTGAGGGGCCCCACGGAGAGCCACGGGGGGGCCCCATGGAGAGCCACGGAGGGGCCCCACGGAGAGCCACTGGGGGTCCCCACAGAGAGCCTTGGGGGACCCCCATGGAGAGCCACAGGGGCGGAGGGAGCGATGTCAGGCAGGGAGACATAGGCATCCCACTCAGACCCGACTCAGGCGCTCAGGGAGCAGAGCGGGGTGTGGAGCGTGGAAGCCCCTGCTGCTCTCCCCGAACCAGGCACGGGCTTTATTTGTTTAAAAATATATATTTTTTCAATTGATTTCAGAGAGGAAGGGGGAGAGAGAGATGGAAACATCACTGATGACAGCGAATCAGTGATTGGCTGCCTCTTGCAGGCCCCCCACTGGGGACTGAGCCCACAACCCAGGCATGTGCTGACCAGTGATCAAACCATGACCTCCTGGTTCATAGGGTGACACTCAACCACTGAGCCACGCCAGCCAGATTAATGATGAGTTTTAAGCAGAGTAGGTGGGTCATCAGATGAGGTTTTTGGAGGCGCCCAGAGGGACCCTGGCCTCCGGGCAAAGGCTCTGGCCTCCCCTCCCCGGGAACATCCTGAGAAGTTTCATCACAAAGTCAGGGGAACAGGGGGGCTCTGGCTGGGAGGGCTGATGCGGGCTTACGGGATTATCCTGCCTAACCCTCTGACACCCCCTTCATTGTCAGTCTCCTGGGACAGGTGAGGAGCCCCGGCTCCAGGGCCCCAGGCAGGCCCAGGGGTCAGCCAAACTCCCGCTCGGCAGACTGGTCCCCCCTCAAGGAGACCCCTTTCCTCTCCAGGTGCCGGTGTGAAATGGGGTCTGTGGGCAACAGGGGCCTTAAGAGGGAGTGAGCCAGCCGAAACCGGTTTGGCTCAGTGGATAGAGCGTCGGCTTGCGGACTGGAGGGTCCCAGGTTCGATTCCAGTCAAGGGCATGTACCTGGGTTGCGGGCACATACCCAGTAGAAGATGTGCAGGAGGCAGCTGATTGATGTTTCTCTCTCATCGATGTTTCTAACTCTCTATCTCTCTCCCTTCCTCTCTGTAAAAAATCAATAAAATATATTAAAAAAAAAGAGTGAGTGAGCCAGACAAGCTCGGGGGTGCCTGCAGTGTGTTCCTAACTAACTACGGCAGGCCGTGGCAGCGTGGGCCGTGGCGGGGCGGGCCGTGGGCACGTCCTAGGCCTGCCGCTTCCTGACCAAGGTCAGACTTTACCTTTGAAACGGTCTGAGTCTTGTGCACCCAAGATACCGTACCTCGGAAAGGAGGCTCAGAGCCATCTTTTCCTGACCCTCCTGGGCGCACGGAAACCACGAGGCTATCTGGCGGCCCGCGTGCCATCTCTGCTGCGAAGGCCCGCTACCCTGCACCCGGCCCGCCTCAGCGACCGCCCCACGCGGACCCTAAAGGACACACCAGGCCTGAGGCCACCATTCTCCAAAGCTTTGTCTCACCCCGTGGGCTCGTGCTTCCCAACAACTATCAGTTTGGTTCAAAGTCACCAGGATTTTTCCGAGCGTGGACATTCTTAGGGCGACAGACCCCCAGTGGGCCCTGAGGCCCGGAGGGAGGGTGGCCTGGGGGACGCAGTCCAGCCTGGGGCTCATGCTGGGTTAATGAACCACCCAGAGGCCCCGGAGGCTCAAAGTCCAGCCCGCAGTGGCCGGAGGAGGTGGGAGAGGTTGCAGCCAGTGCCTTCTGGGAAATGCTCAGCAAGGAACCCCCACTGGCTGGGTGGGTCAGACCCAGGGGGCAGCCTCTGCTACCCCACCCCCCTGCCTGGTGGGGGACCCTGCCCAGCCCCTGCCAGAGCAGGACCCTCTGGGAATAAGGGGCTGCCTCCGTGGGGCCTGGGGATGGGGGACTGGGCGGCCAGCAGCACACACCTTCCCCCTGTCCTTGACCCCAGCCGCCGGCTCCCTAACTTCTGTCCCCAGGGAGGGCCAGCCAGCCCTCTGGAAATTTCAGGAGAACTCTGTACTTTTCCTGCCCAGCCCATCTCTTGAAGGAACCGGATTAAGTTTATTGACCTATCCACTCACTACCTGTTTCACCAGCTCTACCGCGGGGGCGGGGCGGGGGGAGGGCAGGACGCTCCGGCCCGGAGGCGGCCAGGTCTCCCTCTCCAGGCCCCGAGG